TTCTTTATCCTTTCATCTATTGATGGACACTTAGGTTACTTCCCAATCTTGGCTACTGTGAACAGAGCTGCAACAAACCTGGGAGTGAAGAAATATACTGACTTCCTTTCTTTGGGGTGTATACCCAGCAGTGGGATTGCTAGATTCTATGGTAGCTCTCTTTTTAGTTTTCTGAGGAACTGTTAAACTGTTCTCCATAGTGGTTGTATTAACTTACATTCTCACCAACAGTGTATGAAGGATCCCTTTTCTCCACATCCTATCCAGCATTTGTTATTGCCTGACTTTTAAATAAAAGCCATTTCAACTAGGGTGAGATGATATCTCATTGTATTTTTTTAAAACCTTTCCTATGGTGCTGATCATTGTAGTTTTTATTTGCATTTCTCTGATGATCAGTGATGTTGAGCACCTTTACATATGCTTGTTTACCATTTGTATGTCTTTTGAGAAATGTCTATTCAAATCTTTTGCCCATTTTTAATAGGGTCATTAGATTTTAGTTATCTTTTTTGGGTGATAAGAACTTAAAACCTACTCTCTTAGAAATCCTCAAGTATACAATATGTTGTTATTAAATATAGTCACCATGTTCTACAATAGATCTCTTGAACCTGTTCCTCCTAAATGAAATTTTGTATCCTTTCATCAACATTTTCCCAATATCAGCCTTCAACCCTGAATCCCTAGTAACTACCATTTTAATCTCTGCTTCTATGAGTTCAGACTTTTTTAGATTCTACATATAAGTGAGATCATACAGTACTTGTCTTTCTGTGCCTTGTTTATTTCACTTAACATAATGATAACGTCCTCTAGGTTTATCCATGTTGTTGTAGATGACAAGATTTGCTTCTTTTTTTTTTTTAGGCTGAATTTCTTTAACCATTTATCTGTTGAGGGACACTTAGATTGATTTCTTTTTTTTTTTTTTTTTTTTCAGTTGAGACGGAGTCTTGCTCTGTTGCCTGGGCTGGAGTGCAGAGGCACGATCTCGGCTCACTGCAACCTCCGACTCCCAGGTTCAAGCAATTCTCCCACCTCAGCCACCTCACTAGCTGGGATTACAGGTGCATGCCACCATGCCCGGCTAATTGTTGTATCTTTAGTAGAGACAAGGTTTCGCCATGTTGGCAAGGCTGTCTTGAACTCCTGACCTCAAGTGATCTGCCTGCCTCTGCCTCTCAAAATGCTGGGATTACAGGTGTGAGCCACCACGCCCGGCTCCCTAGCTTGATTTCATATCTTGGCTATTGTGAATAATGTTGCAATGAACATGGGAGTGCCAATAGCTCTTTGATATATTGATTGCATTTCCTTTGGATATATACACAGCAGTGGGATTGGATCATGCTATAGTTATATTTTTAATTTTTTGAGGAACCACTATACTGTTTTCCATAATTACTATACTGACTTATGTTCCCACAAACAGGCACAAGTGTTTCCTTTTCTTTTTCTCCATATCCTTACCAAGACTTGCTATGTTTTCTCTTTTTTGATAATAGTTATTCTAACAAGTGTGAGATAATAGAAGTATCTCATTATAGTGTTGTGTTTGTTTGGTTTTGTTTGTTTGTTTGTTTTTGAGTTTTTGAGACTGAATCTGGCTTTGTTGCTCAGGCTGGAGTACAGTGGTGCGATCCTGGCTCACTGCAACCTCTGCCTCCTGGGTTCAAGTGATTCTCATGCCTCAGCCTCCAGAGTAGCTGGCATTACAGGTGCGTGCCACCATGCCTGGCTAATTTTTTGTATTTTTAGTAGAGACGGGGTTTCACTGTATTAGCCAGGATGGTCTCAATCTCCTGACCTTGTGATCTGCCTGCCTTGATCTCCCAAAGTGCTGGAATTACAGGTGTGAGCCACTTCGCCCAGTCCTGTTGTTCATTCTTTTATCTTTCTGTTTCGTCTCATTTAATCACCATAATAACCCAACAAGACAGGAACTATTATTATCCCCATTTTTCTTTCTCTTTTTTTTTTTTGGCGGTGGGGAATGAAGTTTCATTCTTGCCACCTAGGCTGGAGTGCAACGGCGCGATGTGCGCTCACTGCAACCTCCGCCTCCTGGGTTCAAGTGATTGTCCTGCCTCAGCCTCCCAAGTAGCTGGGATTACAGGCATGCACCACCATGCCCAGCTAATTTTTGTGTTTTTAGTGTTTTAGAGATGGAGTTTCATCATGTTGGCCAGGCTGGTCTTGAATTCCTGACCTCAGGTGATCAGCCCACCTCGGCCTCCCAAAGTGTTGGGATTACAGGTGTGAACCACCATGCCCAGCCTCATTGTAGTTTTAATTCACATTCCCTGATGATCAGTGGGTTGACTATTTTTCCATATACCTGTTGGCCATTTGTATGTCTTCTTTTGAGAAATGCCTATCCAGGTTCTTTGCTCATTTTAAAATCAGGTTGTCTTCTCACTATTAACTTGTTTGAGTTCCTTATATATTTTTGATATTGACCCTGTATCAGAAGTGTTGTTTACACATATTTTCTCCCACTCTGTAGGTCATCTTTTTACTCTGTTGATTGTTTCTTTTGCTGTACAGCAGCTTTTTAGTTTGATGTAATTCTATTAGGGTTTCCAGTATGACTGGGGGAATAGTGTATTATGTATTCTTTTGTGTCTGGTCTGCTCTTCTCTCCACTCAACATTGTATCTGTAAGATTTATTTGTGTTGTTTTATGTGTCAGTAGTTTGTTACTTATTGATTGATATCTAACATTCCAATATGTAAACAAACTACATTTATTTACCAATTTTATTATTGATGGACATTTAGATTGTTTGGGGTTACTATGAATAAAATTGCCAAAGACATTTACGTAGGAGTGGTTTGATAGGTATATGACAGCACTATGCACTAGATGCTGTGAGAGCGCAGATGGATGTTTCTGGGGAAAGTGAAGCTTGAGCTGAGTTTTTAGGGGCATAAGAGGTGACTGATGGGAAAGTAAAGGAGAGGTTTCTAGACAGGAAGAAGAGTCATAAGCAAAAAGGAAGAGAATCAGTAATAAATTATAAGAAAGGAGGCAGAAAAGAGACCAAAGTGGTACGTGGACATTGTTATGATAAATTAAAGAGCTCAAACTTCACCCCAAGGAATTTCAAACATGGTAAGATTTTCTTTCAATAAAAGTATCTCTGATCACAGCATGGAAAATGGATTGGAGAAGGGTGGAACTGGAGACTGGGAGATCTGTTAGGAAGTTTTGTTGAGGGGCTTTCCAAACCAGATAACAAAACATTATGTTATAAAGTTACAACAGTTAAGTCACCATGGTAGTCTACCAAAAAAAAGATAGATTTGAATGTAAAATTTGTGTATAGTAAAAACAACACAATGCTACTGAACAAATAATAAACTAGGGAGAAAATATTTCAAAATATATAGTAGACAAATTGTAACTATATTAATAATTCCCTAAGATAAATAAGAAAAGAGCAAAAAATCTAATAGGAAAATAGGTAAGGAATACAAAGGGGCAATCTACAGATGAAATACAAATGGACAATCATGAGAAAATGTTAAACTACTGCCTAAGTGATTATGTCTAAAATTAAAATAATGAGAAAAAATTTACATCTCAGAGTAGCAAAAGGTAAGAATATTTATGATATCAAATGCTGGCTTGAGAATAGGGAAACACATGTTTAAAATATAAATTGGATGGCCAAGTGTGATGGCTCATGCCTATAATCCCAGCACTTTGGGAAGCCGAGGCAGGCGGATCACCTGAAGTCAGGAGTCCAAGACCAGCCTGGTCAATGTGGTGAAACCCCATCTCTACTAAAAATACAAAAATTAGCCAGGCCTGGTTTGCCTGTAATCCCAGCTACTTGGGAGGCTGAGACAGAAGAATCGCTTGAACCCGGGAGGCGGAGGTTGCAGTGAACCAAGATTCCACCATTGCACTCCAGCGGGCAACAAGAGTGAAACTCTGTCTCTAAAAAAAAAAAAAAAAAAATTGGTGCAATCATTTGGAAAGCAACTGGCACATATCTTTTGACCTTGAACACGTTACAGGAAATATTTGAAATATTTACACAGAAATTTTCCCAGAACTATTTTCACTATAAAACAAAGATATACTTCCAATGATATTCATTTGAATGTTGCTTGTAATAGTAAAAGCATGGGATAATCTAAGTAGGGTTTTGAGAAGCTGTGTTACATCTATACGGTGGAACACTCTTCCTATTTTTTTTAAAATTAAGCATATATATATATATATTTCAAGAATAGAAAGGTATTGACAGTATGCTATTGGGTGAAAAAGGTCAAGTTCTAGAAAATAATGGAAGGTATGATGTTATTTTTACAAACATTTGTTAAATGTAGTATATGTCAGAAACTGGGCCATTAACTAGTGATCCAGAAAAGAACAAGATAGAAGAAGTTCTGGCAATTGTGGAGTTAAAAAATTGTCAACAGATTAAAAATCATTAACCCCTGGGGAATGCAAATGACAGAAGTGAGAGGGGGAAGGATGTTTACTTTTTCCTTTATTTACATATTTGGATTATTACATTTTTGTCAATAAGCAACTTTTGCTTTTGTAATTTAAAAACTAAGCCTTAAAAGAAGTCAGTTATACTATTTTTATCAAATATTTAAAGCAGTGGTAAAACCAATTAACATTCTTGAAAGTGTGAAGAAATGGATGCTCTTATACTCTGTTTTAGAGAGCTTTCATTTGCATATACATTTTGGATTGCAACTTGGTAATATATATTTTTTAAAACCTTAAAAATTTGCTTTGATACAAAAATTTTCTAGGAATTTATCTTGGGGAAAAATTTAAAAGTATGAAAAAATCTACAAATATGTTCATTGCAGCTTTCTTTATAACAGTGTAAAATTGGCAACAACTTAAATATCCTTCAACATGGGATTGCTTAATTAAATCATGGTACAAACGTAAAATTTAAAATGACTGTTGGCAGCATGTCAGTTGCCACCCTAACCGTCATTTTCCTTTTCTCCCTTGCTAACAGAATTGCCATTTTTTGAAGATATTGAGTGGCAAGATGATCAAGGAAGACGGGTGCAGTTCAGGTAGTGAATTGTGATTGATGATGGTCACCTTACACCCACGTATTTGGTTTAGGAGTTGACAGATGGTCTATTTCCGGTCAGTGAGACATCAAAGTAGTTATTTATGGAGTTTTTTGGAAGTATGCATTATATTTAAGAGGTGTATGAAGAGAAAACTGTTTATTTTCACCTTCTTTGGATATTTTGTGTGAAGATGTAAGAATGTGATGCTTGGAGCTATGTAGCTATCTGAGGCTCTTGAGAGAAAGCCATGAGTCACAGAGAAACCACCCAAAGCCTTCACTGTTGAATGGTCATGACCAGTTTTGAAACTGTCTAATTCCAGACTTTTTAATTATTAATTTTTTTTGGTTGAGCATCAACATTACTTACAAGTAAAATTGACCTGATTGATAAAGCTCTATACGCAGTGAAAACATGTACAACTCTGGAATTAGCTTATGTTGAAATCATGGGTAGCTCTTACTAGTGCTACTCACCATTACACCATGAACTATTTACATAAATTATCAAAGCCTTAGTTTTCCCATCTGTAAAATGGAAATAATATAGTTTCTATCTTATAAGGAAGTTTTTAATGTCAGTGACAAATCTTTATGTATATATAGAGAGAGTTTAGCAAAGTGACTTTAGTGAAGCTCAGTATTAACTATTGTTAATAAAGTAACAATATTAATCTATACTGATATAGTGGGCATACATGTAATATTAAGTGATGAAAGCATCATTATGTACAGCAGTTACCATTTTATAAAAATAAATATATATCCCTAGAAAAATTCTAGAAATGCATACCAATTAAGGTATTATTAATAATAATGCTTATCTTTGGGTATTAGGATTACTGATACTTTTAATTCTGTTCTTTTTATTTTTCTGAATGTTCTGGAATTTTAAAAGTAAGCATATATTATACACATACATGTATATATACACACACATACACATGTATGTTTTAAAGCAGTTAATTTTGGTGGGTGGTATGAAGAGGCAGAAAGAATGGAAAAACCTGCAGAGAATATTCAGAAGGAGTGAGGAATAGGGAGTGAGAACAGCTGCAGAAGCAAAGGGAGGAACTGATTTTAGGAAAGGGGTAATCAACATTATGGAGTGCTTCTGGAGAGTGACAAGTCAGATAAAGATTGAAAAGCATTCACTGAGTTTCATCTTACGGAGACCAGTGGTTACCGTAGAGAGAACTGTGTCAACTAAGAAACCAGAGTGCAGTGAAAATGAGAAGTAAATGCTCAACTAAGAAAGGAGTTGAAAAACGACTAAATGGCAAAAGTAAATGTATATTAATCTTTCAATAAGCTGGACTGTGAAGAAGAAAGAGAGGGAGTGTTTCAGGAAAAATCCAGCAAAGAAGAGATTTAAGCTACAGAATGGGAGAGAGAGTAGTTAGGGCAGGGGTCCCAAAGAGGCAGAAGAAAATGGTATCCAGTTGTATTTGTGTGGGAAAAAAATCTTTCAGTGAGAATTTTCATCACTTCATTTAGTGGTGTTTTTCGCTCCTTTAATGGTGTATTTTGAGGGACAGAATTTCATAATTTTAATGTAAAATATTTTTCATTATTGTCAGTGATTTTATGTCTTATTGTAAAAATAATTTCTTATCCCAAGGTCATAAAGATACTCGCCTATATTCTCTTCTAAAAATGTTTAAAATTTGCATTTAAGTCCATAGTTCATCTTCAATTGATTTTTGTTTATGGCATGAGGTAGACATCTTATTTCATCAAAAAACGATAGCCAATTATCTCAGGTTTGTTACTTTTATCCATTGGTATTTGGTGGTACCTCTGCCATGCACAATAGTGATTTGTAAGAGCTAAGTGTTAGCATCTCTCCCCAACTCTGCATTCCCTGAAGTCATACTGGTACCTTGAAAGCAGGCAAGTTTTAGTATTTACACATGGAAATCAGCAGGCAACTACAAACAAGGCTGTTTTGGCTGGGAAGCTGGCTAATTCGTGATGAATGGCTTTTGCAAAAAGAATCTAGATTCTAGAATCTAGATGCTAGATTTGAATTGCTAATATTTTGGTAGATTTAGCATAGATTGTTGCATCTATGTTCATGAGTGAGATTAATCTGAAATTTTTTTTCTTGTAATACTTTCGCTTGGCTTTTGAATGGAAATTGTGCTATCATTGTAAATTAACTGGGAATTGCTTTCTTTCTTTCTATTCTCCGGAAAAGTTTGATTAAAACTGAAATTAACTCTTTCCAGTAGAACTTATCAGTAAAATCATTTTGGGCCTGCTATGGTGTGTGTGTGTGTGTGCGCACGCGCACACACGTGTATGTGCATGCATGCACATGCCTGTGAAAAGATTTAGGGTACTGACACAATTTCTTTTTCTTTTTTTTTGAGACAGAGTCTCATTCTGTCGCCCAGGCTGGGGTGCAGAGTCGCCATCTCGGCTCACTGCAACCTCCACCTTTTGGGTTCAAGTGATTCTCGTGCCTCAGCCTCCCAAGTAGCTGGAAATATAGACCCCCGCCACCATGCCTGGCTAATTTGTGTATTTTTAGTAGAGATGAGGTTTCGCCTTGTTGGCCAGGCTGGTCTCGAACTACTGACCTCAAGTGATCCACCTGCCTCGGCGGTGCCAGGATTACAGGCCTGAGCCACAGTGCCTGGGCAACAATTTCAATATTGGTTGTAAGACCATTCATGTTTTCCTATTTTTATTTCATTTTTTTTCTGTTGTTTTTCTGGAGTCCATTTTCTAAGAAGTTGTCCTTCTTACTCAAGTTATCAAATCTATTGGCATAAAGATTTTCTTAACATTCCTGTGTTAGCTTTTTAATTATGCTTGATCTGTAGTTTTTAAAAAAATTTCAATATTTTAATATGTGTCTCCCTTTTTATTGATCAACCTTGCCAGAGGTTTGCCAATTTTGTTGGCATTTCAAAAACAACCTTTTTCTTTGTTGATGCTCTTTGGTGTGTATTTGTTTTCCGTTTCTTTAATTTATGTTTTGATTATTTTCTCACTTTTAATATCTTGTTCTGTTGCCCTTTGTCTAATGTTAAAAGTCTGGCCAGATGCAGTGGTTCACTGCACAGTGGCTCACTGCCAGACCTAACTTTTAACATTAGAAAAAGAGCATTTTTGGAAGCCAAGTTGAGAGGATAGTTTGAGGCCAGGAGTTTAAGATCAGCCTGGCCAACATAGTGAGACCCCTGTCTGTACAAAATAAATAAAATTAAGTCTTATTAATTTTTTACCTTTTCTTTTTTCTGAAATTTGGCTATATATTTTCTCCTAGCACTACAAGTTTTGATCTGTACTATTTTTGTTATAATTTAGGTCAATTTTTTAAACTTCCATCATATTTTTCTTTATTCCATGAATAATTGCTAAATATATAACTTTTTGTATATTTTAAAAATTTATTTATTGTGACTATTATACTGTATATAATACTGATGCATCAAAATTTATCAAGACTCGCTTTATCTCCTAACACATGGTCCATTTTCATAAACACTACATGTGTATTTAAAAGGTTACAGTTTTTGCAGTTGCTGGGTACAATGTTCTATATATTTCTATTAAATGAAACTGTTCATATATTCCTTATCCTTACAAGTTTTAAAAATCTGTTTTACTGTTAATTATTAAGAGAGTTTCTTAAAATCTGTTATCTTGATGGTAGATTTGTCAATTTCTCCTTGTGATTTTGTCAATATTTGATTTATACTAAAGGTGAGTTACTATTTGAATAAGTTTTTCTCAACATTTTATTGACTTCTACATGAAACTGACCTCTACATTAAACTTGAAATAATAGTTCAGTGAACATTTATATATCTTTTGCCTAGATTTACGAACCACTAACCTTTGCCACATTGCTTTCTCTATTTCTATATGTGTATGGATGAATATATATGTATATATTTTTTAACATAGAAGTGAAATTGACATAAAATTAACAATTTGGAGTGCACAATTCAGTGGCATTTAGAACATTCACAATGTTGTGCAACCACCACCTCTATTTCTAAAACATTTTCATCACCTCAGGAAAAGCCTTATATCTACTGAGCAGTCACTTCCTACTCCCCCAACCAGCTCTTGGGAACCACCCATCAATATATCTCTATGGATTTACCTATTCTAGGTTGTCCATGTAATATGGGATCTTTCTATTTGGCTTCTTCATTTAGCATAATCTTTTGAAGTTCAAGCACGTTGTAGCATGTATCAGTACTTCATCTCTTCGTAAGACTGAGTAATATTCCATTACATGTATGTACATTTTGTTTATGTATTCATCTGTTAATGGACATTTGGACCATTTCTATTAATACCTTTTGGCTATCGTGAATAATGCTGCTATAAACATTTGTGTAAAAGCATCTGTTTGACCTTCTGTTTTCAGATCTTTTGGGTATATAGTTAGGAGTGGAATTGCTGGCCATATAGTAATTATATGTTTAACTTTTTGAAAAAATCGTTATCTGTTTCTACAGTGGCTGCATCATTTTACATTCCCACTAGCAATTTGTGAGAGTTCTAATTTCTCCACATCTTACCAATACTTGTTATTTTCCAGTGATGACAATGATGGTTATTACTATTATGGCTCACCTAGTAGGTATGGAGTAGTATCTCATTGTGGGTTTGATTTGCGTTTCTCTAGTGACTAATGATGTGGAACAATTTTTCATGTGCTTGTTGACAATTTGTATAATCTTTTTCTGAGAAATAGCTATCAAGAACTTTGCTCATTTTTAAATTGGGTTGTCTTTTTGTTATTGAATTGTTAAAATTCTTCAAATATATTATGGACAGTAAACTCTCTTTTTTTTTTTTTTTTTTTTTAGACAGAGTCTCGCTCTGTTACCCAGGCTGGAGTACAGTGGCACGATCTTGGCTCACTGAAACCTCCACCTCCCGGGTTCAAGCAATTCTTCTGCCTCAGCCTCCCAAGTAGCTGGGATTACAGGCATGTGCCACCACGTCCAGCTAATTTTTAGTAGAGAC